CCTCGCAGCATCTCCCTGGCCTCCTCTGCACTCGCTCCAACAGCTCCACGTCCCTCTTGTGCTGGATCAGGGCTGCAGGGGGGGTCTCCCCAGAGGTGTGCACGCACCAGACCTGTGTGTGCAGTGCACGTGGACCCTTGCACGTGGCCACGCGCGCACGCACACACGCACACATGTGCGTGTACTCATGCACCGCGTGCACGCGCGTGGGCGCCCCTCCGCCCGCACGTGCGCGCCTGCACGCCCGCCCCCCCCGCCCGCCGGACACCACCCCCGGCAGGGCGGGACCGCGGCGCCCCCTGGAGGCGCGGGGCCGCTCCCTCCCTCGCTCCCTCCGCCCTCGCCCCGCCCCTCCCACCGCCCCCCTCCCGCCTCAGCGGTAGGGCCGAGCGCCGCAGCGCCCCCTCCCGGCCGGTGCGGCTGAGGCGGCGAGCGCGGCCACAGCTTCGCTTCCGAACGCTGCGAAACTGGGTAAACCAACCCAAATTAGAGCCTCGGAGCCAAACGTGGCTCCGGGCAGCTTCCCCCTCGCTTTGCCCGCGGCTCCTGTCACCGCGGGGTGCGGATCCGGTGTCAGCGTAGCCAAGCGCTTCCCTGTCCCGCCACCTGCGTGTGGGAAGGGAAGGCTTGGGTGTGCCCTGCTCCCTCCTCCGGCTTCCCGGTTATCTCCGTAATTCCAGAGGGGGATTGGAGCAGGAGGCAGACGCTGCATTCCCCAGGCGAAGCAAGCACGTGGTTTCTCTCAGGGGAAACCCAAGGGAAACTCACAACCCAGCACCTCCATCAGTGTCACCCCCAGAGGCAGCCCCGAGGGCAGCCCCTGGTCCCCAGCCGGTCGGTGAGGACCGGAGGGGTCCTGGTGCGCTGCAATTAGCGCTGAGGTGCTTCCCTTTATCTCCTTTCCCTAAAGGAAAGGATGCTTATTGTCTTGCGACCGAGCAGATCTCCCATGGGAGGCAAAACATACTCCTTAATGGAAGATAGGCAGGTGGCTTCAGCTTTGGGGAACATTAATAGACAAGGACGGGTCTGCAGCTGATGTAAACGGGTGGCTTGCACCGCCTTCACGTGCTGATCGACACCAGCTGTTGGCCTGGCATGGCCTGCTGGTCGTCTTGGAGGTGGGTGTGCTTTATCCCACTTCCCCTTCCTAACCCAGTGAGAGCAGTGCTCATGAGGCTGTTTACTATGACCGCTAAAGCCAGTACGGGTTTCAGAACAAAAAAGTATTTATGTTTGTTTGCTGTTAATATTTCCTGGTTTTAGAATCACAGAATCCCAGACTGGTTTGGGTTGGAAGGAACCTTAAAGCTCACCCAGCTCCAACCCCTGCCACGGGCAGGGACACCTTCCACTGGAGCAGCTTGCTCCAAGCCCCTGTGTCCAACCTGGCCTTGAGCACTACCAGGGATGGGGCAGCCACAGCTTCTCTGGGCACCCTGTGCCAGCGCCTCAGCACCCTCACAGGGAAGAGCTTCTGCCTAAGAGCTCAGCTCAGTCTCCCCTCTGGCAGGTTCAAGCCATTCCCCTTGGCCTGTCCCTACAGGCCCTTGTCCCAAGCCCCTCTCCAGGTTTCCTGCAGCCCCTTTAGGCACTGGAGCTGCTCTCAGGTCTCCCCTTCAGGAGCCTTCTCTTCTCCAGGCTGCCCCAGCCCAGCTCTCTCAGCCTGGCTCCATACGGGACAAACTCCTGAGAAATCCCTGCCTATTACCTCATGTTGATCACCTTTTGTTTTTAGCCTGAGCAAAATGATCCCTGTGCACTGGGAGCGTTGCCGTGAAGGACATTTCCCAGTGTATCCCTGAGTTACACTGATATACGTACAAGAGGATGAGACACTTCACTTTAGACATATAGACACGCATATATACTACGGTACTGCTATAACCACCCACAGAAACATTAATATTGATTTTAGAGAGCAGGCAAATTCTGCACCTCAGCAGATTTGAGTGATATTTTCCATGGGCTGTCTGGGATTGACTTCCTAAAGCTCAGTACGAACTGCTTTTTATACCAAATTTTGGGGGTTTGCGACCTGACAGAGGAGTTCCGGACGTGCTCCATAGAAATGTTTTGCATCTGTTTCTACGAGTGACTTGCCTATTGGAGCTCATTACGAGAAAATACAAGTTTTTAAGTGCATGCCCCCCCCCCCCTTTTTTTTTTTTTACCCAAGTAATAAAACGTGACACTAGAGGGCGGCCTGTTAATGTAATTCAATAATGAAGCTGCAGCGGCGGCACATGGGGAGCTGCAGTGTCCTGCTTCGTGCCAGAGTCCTGGCTGGAAGCAGGCCTGGGGGCGGCTCTGGGACAACCACTGCTGCCCGGAGACGTGGGGAGTATGCAGGGTGTAATACCAGAACTCAAAGTAACAAATATCCCCAGGAAATGAGATTTGCCAGCAAGCTGTCTTGTCTCGTGAGCAGTACTGCATATAGCACTCAGTCTGGCTCAAAGGAGGAGACGGCAGGAATGATTCCATCCATTCCCTGATCCCAAACCCTTGTCCTCCCCCAAAGCACTGCATCTACTTTCACAGCTCACCGGCAGTGCTGCAGTTACAGCCTGGGTTTAGCAGACTGCAGTTCTGTGAATACAGTCCCTGCTGATGCCTTGTTCTCAGCCTCTGCACAGCGTTCCTGTGACTGAGGAGGTCTCTTACAGTTCCAGAGACCATTCTCCTTGTGTCAAGTGAGGTTAATAGCTGCATGCAATTTAATTAATTAAAGACAGTGGGTATTTTTAGAGCACCAGGCGCAGTATGTCTCAGAAACACCAGGTATTATCTAAGTCTGCAGTGCTGTCATTGTTGATATTTACGTTTTGTACTGCCTGGAAGCAAGGATTTCCTTGCAGTAGGCTGCTGACAGCAGCACTTTTTCTCCCCAGACTTAAAACCTGCATGTCAAACGTGACCCAACAGGCAGAAGTGACATCAGGCAGACTGAGGTAAGACCAAGGACGCAGGTCATAGCTCCCTGCACACTAGCACAGGCTGGTGATTCTGTAGGTTGTTGCACATGTACCGTATCACAGGTGGGTTTTAAGGCATTCTTGCAGCTTGCTCTGCAATAGCTTCAAGAGCTTTCAGTGCTGTGAGACTGTTAGAGGTAATTCAGCATGTTCACCAGGAAACAAGAGAACATTTTAAGCTGAACTTCAGTGATACTTCCTTATTGTCTGGAGCAGAAATTGGCCTGAAGTTACAGATGGAAAGAACTTAAATTAGTGGCCGCTTTTCTGCGAACTGATGTTCCTTAGCATTTAGCAATAACGTGTCCTCAGTTTTTGCTAAATTGCAAACGAGCAATTAATTTTTCAGCACTTGTGCAGAATACTTTAAAAATGGAAACATGAAAGTCTTCTATTAAAATGAAGTTGATAGTATGCACCTGCCACTAATGTACTGTACACTGTGTCTTCCACTCATTATAGTGATGATTTGGGTTGAGATCAAGAGTCATATAGTGAAAATCACTTCAACATGTGCCTGTTCATATGCATAAACTCCTGTGTACCAGATGGCAAAATATAATGACATCTTAAACAGCTAATTGCATAAACCTTGTAATGCAGATAATTGCTGAACCAAAGTATGAGTTAATAATTTCCCACTGTATTGCCTGGCTTGACACTAATTCTAAAGGAAAGTTGTGACAATTCTAACACACTAAAGTTCACCAAGCGGTAATTAAAACTAGCACTTAAAATCATTCGACTTTCAAACCCTTAATTACAATTCAGTGGAATCACTTTGTAGAAATCTTACATTTATAGATAGTTACATGATAGCTGATATTTCATCATCGTCCCTTTCATGCTGGTGTTCTAAGGCATGCTTCACGAAGCATATAGCTCTCCCTGGAAAACTAAGGTTGTGATGATTTCTATTGGAGTGGTCACTGGGAAACACTTGGAAAGCAGTGGCCAGGACTAGGAGTGAACGTACATACTGCTGGAGTTTGTTCCAAGGTTATCTTTAAAGTGAGTAGTCATGCTTAATCACCTGATGATGTATAAACATAAATAAGCAGCCACTACAATGAAACCTATCAGTTTTCAAAGAGTAGGTTTAAGAATGGAACTGTTTTGGTTGGGTTGGTGACACATGTGCTGACCTAAAGACAGGCCTCTTACACATCATGAGCTGTTACTGTGTATTGGAAAAGCTGCCGTGGGATTGAAACGCCAGAGAATGGAGATATAATTAATGATGGTAAATACAGTTTTAGGAGAAATAAGCCTTATCAGGCAAACACAATTTCTTTCTTTGATGAGGCGCATCAAATAATATGATGAAGGTAAAGACTGAATGATAAAGGTCAATGAAGATGTTCATTTTTTATGGAGATTGGAATTAACACTGTGTGGTATTCTGATCAGAAAGCATTAGAAATAGCAACAGAGCGTGCACTAATTAGATTAGGAATTGGCTAACAGCCTGTTTAAAAGTAGCTATGAATCAGGAAGTGTTACTGAATGGGAGAGTTACTCAGATCGGCATCAGGTCAGGTGCTAGTCGATGTTTTCTACAATGATTTGGATGTAAACACTGTAAATTCACAGCTGATTAATTTGAGGGTGACAGGAACATTGGTGGAGTGACAGAAAATGATGAGAATGACACTTCAAGTGATCTCAGTTGCCTGATGAGCTGAGCCCATTCAAACACAATTGGTTTTAATACAGACAATGTAAGATTACGCATTTTCTGGTGCTCACACTTTTAACAGATTGTTGCAAAACTGGAAAGGGTGCAGGATAGAGCCACAGAGGGGATTTCAGGGCTGAAGAAAGTGCTTAATGGTGAAAGACTTAAAGCACTCAATCTGCCTAGCTTACTGGAAAGAATTCTGAGACGTGACATGAGTATAATGGGTGAGTATGTAAGTATCTATGAGATGTGTCTGGAAGTATCTGCTGGATACTGATGACATTTTTAATCTCTCAGGGAAAACTGCAGAACTGCAAGTTGAAGTCAAACAAAGTCGAGCAAGAATTTAGGGAGTTTTTAACAGCAAGAAGGGCTGAAGGCTGCCTTTCAAGGCACAAAGTGGATACTGTGTTTTTCTGATGTTTTTAAAGCAAGACCTGCTGTACCCAAAACCAAGTTAATGCAAGGGCACTGGCACACGATGACCTGTAATATATCAAGGGGCTTTCTCTAGCCTTTAACACTGTCAGTCTACATACATCAGTGGAGATGCTTCATAAGCATTTGGGAGCAGTAACGTACACCTGTGCAAAGGAATAATCAAGTAATAACAAGTCTAACACATTTCATGGGCTCTCCAGCCCCAGCCCAGGTGTGCCGGTATCACACATTCATGTATCACACATTCATGTATCTCTAATAATGTATTACTTTAAAAGACAGAGACAGAATTTATGTGCTGATGGAGCTACACAAAACCACCAAAAGCCAGCACCCTACCAGCAGGTCTGTCACCCTTTGCCTGCCTCCTGGCATGAAATAGCTGATTCCTCAGGGATGCCCCGGCCTCTGCTCACTGGTAAAGAAGAAGCAGTGATCCAGCTCTGGGAATCATCTACATGGAAATGTGCTTTATTCACAGTGTGAATAAGAGAGTCTTGGACTGGAGTGGGTCACAGGCAGAATATTAGGCTGAAGCCTCACTCCAAGCTGCTCCTTTTCTGAAGCAGCCCTGCCCCAGCAATTGATTTCTCTGAGAAATGGTGACAATCCCTTGTCCTGCTGCTCACACCGCTTCTCTCCTCTGTGGCCATATGTACCCACCACAGCAGTTCCCAGACATGTATCCTGGGTGTTGTTTGCATACTACAAACCTGTTCCGCCCTCATCCTTCTGAAAAATTCAACAACTGTCAAAACCACGAACAAACAGAAACCATTTCAAGACTCCACTGTACCACCACATGGTGCCTCCAATTACAGCTCAGTGTAGTGCAGAAGGAAGAGAAAGCAGGGACCTCACCCCATTTCCTGCAGCTCTAGTATGTTCTCAGGGGTCTCCCATCTAAGTTCAGATGAAGCACAGTTCAGCCTGCTCTAATGTCCTGCTAGCCCTAGCCCTGATGAAAGCTGGGAGATAAACTCTATAAAATCAAATAGCATAGACCAGTTCTGTGCTCAGCACAATCCTTTCTGCCCTTAAACGTTTATTTGACCGTGAAACATAACTACCAGGTGTCTGTGCTGTTACTGATTTTACAGATGGATGTAACTAGATCTGATATGAAATATTTTCATGCTCAGGTGTCCCCTACCACTCCCTGTGGTCTTTCCAGCCACCCCTGCTGCCCTGTACAGCAGCCCTGTTCCTCTGTGAGAGCAGCACTGGCATGTACAGCTGGTGAAGATCAGCTTTTTGCCCTAGAGAAGGATAAGGATGCTCCAGGGAAGATGCCAGTTCTAGCCTGTTGTAACATTTCCAGCCTATACTAAACATTCTCTGTAAAATCTCAACTCAGGTGATTGAGCCAAGCTCTACATAGTAATTCCATTCAGTACAGCTCATGATGCTTCATGTGATGCACTTTTTCTCTGTATCCATCGCCTAATTATTTACTTGAGGCAGCCTCTCACTGTCTGTACCTAATTGGGGTTTACAGACTTAGGTCTGGCCTTCCCTCACACCCTCCACCAACTGCAAGATAAATGTGCCTCCAGGTGGTCCTGGTGTTTTCCCAATGGTTCTTCAGGGCCATTTCAGTACAGACCTCTATGAAATGCATGCATTTTATTCATAGGCTGTATATATATGTGAAGAACGTCACCGATGGTATTTCAGTCTATGTATCTGCACCATAACTACAACTTGTCCACAGAAGAGACACTGGTAACTCAAGCCAAAACAAAAAAGACACTGAGCAGCATTACTAATTGATAACTCACATGCCAGAAGTTTGGGGAACACTAAAATTGTCAGTGATAGCAAAGCCTGGACAGCTAAAGAGTCTCAGAGATGTAGGCAGGGATCACTCCAGTGGCTGATGACCTGCCTTTTGGGCTTGCAGTGATGCTGATAATCAACTCTAAGCAGGAAATTGTCCTGCAGATCAACTTGGCAGCTTATGAGGAACTTCTTTATCCTTAAAATAACTGATAGATCCAGGATGTGGTGGTATGACGTGAAGATGACTAGTTCTTGGTCTGTGAACATAAATCGGTCTTTTTTCTTTTGTCAGGAAGAAGTCTGATGGGGGTAGGTTATTGTTCCAGAAGTGGAAATCTAGAAAACAAGACAAAATATGTTGTCACATCTCTTTGTTGCTGTTTGCAACATTATTTTCTGCTTAGGTTTTCTAGATACTTACTGTCCCAATGCACAAGTTGAGTAAAAATGATTTCTGATCATGGATTTTATCAAATCAGAATGCAGTATTGAAAACACAGCGTGCATTTTGAGTTTTAGTAAGAAATACTGCTTAAATTGGATCATTCTCCATCATTCCCTTTCTAACCAGCATTTAGTAACATTCAAATAGTGCTAATGTCATAAATATTTACTAAACATGAACATAACTCGGAGTTCCCCTACCTGGCTGTGGCTGTCTGGTACTCTTCAGAGGAGGAGCTATCTTCTCATCTTCTGTTTTCTTCAGGAGTCCTTCAGGAAAGGGTCAGGCACCACATTTAGCTTCTCCTAGAAGTGCATGCCTGTCTTTGTGTATATCCTAGTAGCCAAAAACGTCAGAGATGGGCTGAAAGATCTGCTGGTAGGTAGAGAAGACACTCTGGGAAGAGTGGGCCTCTAGATTCTGTTCTCTGTGGAGCAGTTGCCTTCTGCCACTAGCCTGATAAAACAGCTTTATAAAGCATAGTGTGATCTGGGGAGGGGAATCAGTTCCCAGAACTGCTGAAATTCACTGGAGATGTATCACTTTTCCAGATGAACACCTGGTGACTGATTTTCTTTACCTTGCTTAATTAGCCTTTGATTCCTAAGACCCTAAGGCACTTAGAGATCAGAACACAGTTCAGTCTATACAAACCAGAAATGCACCTCTCTTCTTTGCATCAGTTCTCAAATGGTTCTGTCACACACCGCTGTCACAATGTGTAATTACCTGTAGGTGTCTGGAACATGGTGTCGTTTGTCTTCTCAAGTGCTTTGGCCCGCAGGGACCCAATAAGCTTTGGTTTGCCATAATTAATAGGTTAGCTGATGATCTAAATGACTACTGGAAAAGGACATCTTGCAAGAGAAGAGCCTTCATTTTCTGTCATATGGATTGCTTCACCTTGGGATGTTCCAAAGAAGTGTTCCTGGAGCAGTATGGGCCCGGGTCTGAAGCCAATGAGACACACAGACACACAGGACTCTGCAGTAACTTGCAATTCAGGTGGCTGAATTCCTCTATGGTCACCAGAATGAGGTAAGGAACCCAGTGATTTGATCACAGTTAGACCTGACTTATACATGTTATTTACTCATCATCCACTCCATATCCCACCAGTTTAGGTTCTTAATATGGACACTTATCACTGTCTTAAAACCCTCCAGCAGCAATGGTCATGTTACATGATTTCATTGTTCATTACACATATTTATATTTGGCTGTCAGGAAAGGTTTTTTAGTTTCAGCTATATAAGTAAGAAGAATTTTCCAAATCACAATGGGGTTTTGCACTAGGCAGTGGCTTCAGGCAAAAACATGAAGATTTACTGCAGATAGAGACCAAACTCTTTGGAGATACGTGTTGTCCAGCAGGCTGGCTGCTGGAGGCTTTTCAGGTAGCAGGAAACCTTCCTCAGGGGGTTTCTGCAAGGCTTTGACATTTATAGGGTGGCTGTTGGTGCTGCATAACCACAGGAGCATCATTATCATTGACCTATTGCAGAGCTGCCCATATTTCATGTACCATGTTCTTTGGCAGAGCAAAACTTGTCAGTGCTTTACTTAACTCATGTCTTGTCAGTGAGCTGTTTTTGTTGTGTCTCTGATTTCTACTTAGAATATAGAGTAACAGTAAGAAAAAGAGGCTTTAAAAATGAGAGAACTGAGTTACAAACCATTTTTTGTAATTTTTAGCCAGGGTTAGTTCAGAAAGCTAATTCTTGTTTACTATTTAGTTCAAAGAACAGATTCTAATGCTGCTTTTATCCTGTTGTTTCCTTTTTAACCTCTATTATTTATCAATTTCTTTAAATCATTTGGTTTGTTCACAGCATTTTTTAAGGCTTCTGCCCCTAGATTATTTTATATTGGCAATTGAAGTGATCTCTGTGCAGTCAAACACTACTTTACCCAGTTCCCTTTGGGGCTATTCACATATCCATATGTGCCTGCAGTTCCCACTAATGCTTGTCAATGGGACTTAACATATGAGCATGGACATGAGAATAGACCCCTTGCTGTGCACTTGACTAGATGGGGTTTTTTTTGATGTTGATCCAGATCACTCACAGCAAACACCGCTGTTATTAGAAATCACTGCACTCTACAGGCCCAGCGAGTGCAAGCTCCTTTTCCTTCTCACTCTTATGGGAGCTGCTTGGTGGGGTTTGCACACTCAGGGTAAATACTTAATAGACACAAACTAGAAGCCAAGGTTATTGCTTCAGGTAGCTTTATTCTATGTGTTCCCCTCTGTTTGCCATGCAACATTGTGGTTGCATGGCAATGCATTATGGTAGGTTTTTTTAAGGCATGAATTGGGAATTGGACATTTGGGTTCTATCCATGGCTCCATCTAGGCAGGATGGTTGGAGCTTTAACATTCACTACTTACAAAAACAAGTGGAAAGCTAAGGTAACTTAGAGTATTCCCATTTTATTTCTCTGTACCTGTTTTTAGCATCTTAAGTGGTTCTTGTAACTGTGGACTCCCTGCTACACTGTGCATATAAGTTAAGTGATGACAGAACACTTTCCGTCATGAAGTTGAAGTCTTCAATATGTTTTGTAAAACTGATGCATCTCGTACCATCTGTAATGCCACTCCACTGCAATTCAGGGACATGCAAATGTTGAATCATTATTATTTGCTAACCATATGAAAATAATTACTGATTTCAGTGTAATTTGTAATGAACATGTGCCCACATCTGAAGGGGGAAATGATCAAGTCAAGATATGTATTCTCGCAACCTCTTTATTGCTAGGAGGTTTTCTGCCTTTAAGCCACACTTTGAGATTTTGGAAGGTTGTTTTTAGATGTACAATCCTTGGAGATGTTTACTGAGTTATAACTCTGAGTGCAGCAGGGACCAATGAGCTAAAGTCAAGTCAAACATGAGCAGGAAGTATTGTGTTTCAATGCCCAGCCTTTCAGGAATGAATTTGCTTAGTTTAAATCTTCACTTTCTACTCCATGCTTTCAGGCTTTCTCTAATGGTACCAGAAGCATGAACAAGCTGATAACGGATACCATGGTACAACAGTGCTTGTTTAGCCCCAATCCCACCAGTTACATTGTGGGCAGAACCATGTACCAGGGCAGGAATCTTGATTTCACTCCTATGGGTGCTTAGACTCACTTCGGATAGCTGAACATATCTCAGGACAGAGCCAAGGGCACATCCAACAATTTCAGGAAGCAGTAACTTGCAGTGTTACCCATCACCCAAGGCTGGCCAGCACTTCCCATTTTAAAGGTTGATTTTCAGTGCTCATAACTTTGCCATGAAAGGACATTTTCCCAGAAATTCAAGGTTTTGTCAGGCTGATTTCTTTCTGGAAAACTTTAATCCAAACAAATCCATTTATCTCTAAAAAAAGTGCTAGGAAAAGAAATAAAATCTTTCAGTGTTATCATTCTGGTAGTTTTCCCTTGAAAATCTCTGATGATGTTGTAGTTTGAAAGCAGCAACTGGAAGACTGGCCTACATCATCTGTTACTTAAGAAAAGCTTTATAGTAACCTCAATAATCCATCAAATCCAAACAACCCTTATAAACTTGGAGTTTGCACACACTCAGCAAAAGTTTTCCAGCACTAAGCTGCCAACCTCTGCATGGGTTTTATAGGGAACAGGCACATTTGGGCAGAGCCCACAAAGCCTATCTCGCTGTGCAGGGGGGTCTCATGGACACCCCTCTGCAATGTTCTTTTAGCCAGTTGTTAACTTTTTGGGTGCTCAGTCCTGCATTCCCAACATTGTCCTGTGAACATCCCCTCTTCATGTGCAATTAAATGTCATTTACGAGGCAGGTAATAAGTTAAAATAACCGTTCCCCTATCGCCTAGTAGGAAGTATGTCTCTTAACTGATATAATGGATGGTAGCTATTAGTTACTCCTACATTAAGGTGCATTCATATTGAAATTTTGTACTGACATTACAATGCATTTGATTAAAATGCAGAAGAATTACACATTAGATATCATGTGGCTGGATGGAAGCATAATTTAGCTGAGTCTGCAGATGCAGTCATGCAGGTGTTTCTGTAATTCTTTTTCAGTCTGTAAAACCATCGATGTTCAGTGGCCCTCAAATCACACCACCATCTGTGGTTCAGTTCCTTGTGAAAGGAATTCCTTGTGCCTTTTATCAGATAGGATCACTGGATTCCTGAGCAAAACTTCTGTGAATCAGGCAATATTTAAATAGCAGGTGTTTTGGGGGAGGAGAGGTATTACACACATTGGGTATTTCAGCTTTTGTTAACCACAGACCTTGTGTAAGAAAATGAAAAGACCTGGGTTCTTTGTGGGAACCTTCCAAGGAACCATTATGCTTTGTTAAATAAGAAAGAACTAATAAGTAAGTCTGGATTGTGTCTGATTTGCAGTACTTGAAACAAGACCAAGCCTGGCCTTATAAATCTCCCAACACAATAGCCAGGTATCTGAAAAGCACTGGATGCCAGTGCTTTTTTTTCCAGTTATTATAGGTAGATTCACATTTTGTACTTAGGCCTATTATAGATAAATACAACCTGAACGGCTGCAGCTATTGCTGCTTTCAGTTTTCACAGGCAACAAGATGATGCCAGGTACTTTCAGCACAGAGCTGGAGAACCAAGCCCAGCATGCCGACGGGTCCACAGCTGCCAGCAGAAGCTCCTGCACATGCCCATATACACGTGCACGTGCTAGATTGAGAACCTCTTGGAGGCAGGAAGCTGTGACTGGGAGCAAAAGACCATAGCAAATGGGCAAGAAAAGCAGGGACAGAGCTTACAGGTTCAGCAAAGCTTCAGGGCTGTGGCATGGGGGTTTGCAGCACAACACAACTCCTGCCCTTCCTACAGCATTTTCCAGGCCATGGGTCTTTCCAGGCTAGGAACATCTAGCACTTCACTACATTTGGAAGGGGGCTGACATAACTTTTGGAGGAGCACAGACTTGATGTCATCAGAACACTGTGTGAAGCAATCTTGCTAATGTGCAGTTTTGTCTAGAAGGTCTTTGAGGGCTGAGCATGGTTTGAAAGAACAAAAGCAAGTCAGAAGCACAGACGGTTTCTTTCCCTTCAGGGTCACGGTGTTTAGACATTTTGAAAGACTTACTGAGCTAATTTGTGAAATACTTTTATACAGTAAGGAAAAAGAAAGACCTCAGAAGAATTTGGGTCCGTCAGCAATGCAGGCAAACAAGAAAAATCTGTCCTCAGTAGATGAAGTATTTATTTATCATTGAAATCCCAGACGTTTGCATCCAGTGTAAGGACAAGACTAATCTTATGCATAACCTCCTAGAGAATTCAGTTAAAAGCAGTTTTGGATACCTGTAAGTAATTATGCTATCACATTCTCCAATGGATTTAATTTGGACCAAGTAGCAACTACTGTATGTCCAAAAGATAATGAATTAAAGCAATGCTTTGGCATATCCCCTTTCTGAAATGTTAGCAGCCTCTCAAGTGACTTGAAAAACGGGCTTCAATAAATGGACAGGAAAATATATGCAATTAAATTCAATCAATAAAGCTGTCCTTGACCAAAGTCCAAACATTAAAAACAACTCCAATTGAATTATGAGAAATCCTTTTCTGATTTTAACTAGATTAGTTTAATCACATGTGCACCGGAGTTGAGTGCCATTCCTCAGTGAGTTTATGGAAACAAAAAGCAACGTACTGATCCCTGTCTCCCACTTCAGCCCAGCTCTAGCTTTTCCTTAGAGAAGAGCACTGCTCTAGAAGAGCCATTTTCTTACTAACAAGGTCACTCATTCAGAGGAAAGTGGCAGAGCAGGGTCCAGGTGACAATCCTAGGTACCAGCCTTCTCTCCTTCACTTGCACAAAACTCCTTGTCCCCATAACTGTGCAGGCTCTTTCTTTTTTTTATTGAGAAAAAGAAATATTTCCACATTTCCCAGATCCTGAAGTTACTCAAAATGTGAAACCTCTTCCAAATCTCAAAGTAACTGAAAGCTTTCAATCCCCCCACCCCTTCTCTCTAGAGCTTTTTTCTACCATACTGATATGGCAGAAGATAAATGCACTGACAAAATCAGAGGTGCTCCAGATTATGGTTAGAATACATGTAAGTACAAGCCACAGACATAAGCAAATCTGTTCTGCACTGTACCAGGTACTAGGAAGAAAATGAACTCTATCACAGCCAAAACCAGGGCAACCTGGAAATAGAAAACCTTCAGAAGTAAAAAAAGAAGAGAAATTAAAACCGAAGAGGCTCTTGGAGAGAAGGTTTTTATGCAACAATCAGATATTGCGAGAGCCCTTACAAACAACAAAATACGTATGTATTCAAATCCTCACTGAGAAGCCCAGTTTGCTACATGCCCACCAGGGGAAATCTAAAACTCTGTGCTGAAATACCTAACTCCCCATATGCCTTAGAGAGAGCAGGAATTCACCTTTTCCCCTCCCCAAGGATGTGGGAACAGCTGACAAATAACTTCACAGAAGCCAAACAGCCGTCAGCTGGGAATGTCTACACAAGTCTATTTGCCTGCAGGAGATCTGAACCAGCAATACCTGTGAGACTAACATTGCTCAGCTGCTTCTGAGTTGTCCTGTAGAAAGAAAGTATTCTCTTAAATTCAGAGGTTATTCTAGATCCAACCTTTCAGCCAGGAAGTACTTGAGATACGAAATAGGTGGATCTGGCAAAATAATTCTTAAGCAGCAAAGTGTGTGTTGCATTTTTTACTCTCTGGGGACTTGTGGTTTTCCTGCAGTTCATTCCAAAAATCAAGACTGAATTGCAACAAAATGATTTGCCTCAGATAAGGGACCGTGGATCAGAAGCAGTTATTTCCTGCCCTGTAACAAGAGAAGTAAAACACTGCAGCCAGAAAGAGGGAGTAAAGTGTTGGTTTCAATGCCTACAATGCCCAAGCCTTGCCTCAGCTTTCTTCAGCCTCCTGCATGAGCAGGGTGGAGAACAGCCATCCATCTAAACGGCTGTGCTCACCCTCATCTCTGACCTCTAAAGCTCTCCCAAGGATGCAACTTTGTCACCTGCCTACAAAAGTAGGTCTTTCACCCTCTGCTCACCCCCCTCAGTGTGGTTGGTTGCAGAACATGGAAATCTGTATATGGCTCTAGCAATTTAAACAGGGGAGATTCAGGTTAGATATAAGGAAGTTCTTCTCTGTGAGGGTGCTGAGGCGCTGGCACAGGGTGCCCAGAGAAGCTGGGGCTGCCCCATCCCTGGCAGTGCTCAAGGCCAGGTTGGACACAGGGGCTTGGAGCAAGCTGCTCTAGTGGAAGGTGTCCCTGTCCGTGGCAGGGGTTGGAGCTGGATGAGCTTTAAGGTTCCTTCCAACTCAAACCATTCAAATTTAGGTTAATGGCTGGAAGCAATGTTCTTAAAGGTCTTTTCTAAATAACTATATGTATTTCACAGTTGCTTGTTTGCTGGAGCTCTGGAGACCTTCCCATGAATGTACCCCCCAAAAGCCATATCCAGATCTTTAGCAGCATACAGAGCCAAGTAAGACAAAACTTAACTATAGAGTAATATGAAATATTGCAATAAGAATAATATAACAAATAGACGAGTTATGAGATTGGGAAAACTTGGGCTTGTTACGTCTCCTACTGACTTCATTCCAACCGCATTGGCTGATACTTCAGTAACATGTTGGGAGATCAAGCTGAGTAGGAAGACACCTGAAAAAGGCAAATACCTTCCTGCTGACAGCAGAACCTCTGCCTTGGACAATCTCTAGCTGTTTGCACACATACTGTGAAGCCCAAGAAGCTCGTATTCCCTTAGCAACCAAAGTTGGCACCTGTGATATTTGTTTTCAGCGACTGACACCAAGAGTTTGAACTTACATCTGTTTTACTGAATGATGGTAAAACAGTATTAGTAACTGCAAAAAGCAGCTCTAATTTGGACAATACCATCCAGATCATTTGCAGCTTGTACTGTCTGTAATTTCATTTCACATCCCACCCAGAAAATATGGGAAACTACATAACAGAGGAACATGATGAGTCTTAACACAAGCTGGGTCTTGACAACCTGACCTATTCCCAGCTATGAAACTTGCTTGTGTAGAAGTTTTCCTGGTATCTTTTGTAGTTCATTTGTGAAGGATTGTCCACGTGGTGCCTTATCACAAACTGTGGAATGAGTCCAGGAGATGGCAACAACATGAACTGCTGTGGGGGCTA